CCAGCAAGCCACCTATGCCATGATCTAACTCATCCACTGCCTCCACCCAGAGCGTGCTTGGAGAAGAGTTTCCGATGGGCTTGCTCTGATTTTGCAAAGCGCGGCTTTTGCATCTTGAAGAAGCGTCTCACCGCTTCACCTCGGAGACGGTGCCGACATCATTCTCCTGCCTCTTCAAGATCTTCTTAGGGCCCCAAACCCCCGCCCTGCCGCCCATGTCCACACTGACTGTCTTGGGACCCATCGACTCCCCACCGTCGCCGTTGCCAGTGCCATTGTCCTTTGTGTTCTTGGGCCCAGTGGCCATCTTTGCGACTGACAACGAGGTCAGGAGTCTTGTAGGACTGCCCGTGGTACCACTGCTACCAGCATTCCTTTTCCCCTTGAACTTTTTGCCTCCCGAAGTCTCGATCCACGGACCGCCCTCTCTCTTAGCTCTGATTTCGTCTTCTTCTTTCTCTTGCTTCGCCCGCTGCTCTGCTTCTCGTTCTCTAGCAGCCTTCTCGCGAGCCTCGCGTCGAACACGCTCCTCTTTTGCCCTCATTTCGGCAGCTACCTTCTCCTTGACCGCATTCTCACGAGCCTGGCGGGCCTTGGCAATGGCTTCTTGGTCAGAACGGACTTGAGCCTCGATTTCGGCACGTGCTTCGGCTCTGATGCAGAGGTAGCATGGGAAGTGCGACGGACGATACTGCTCGTCGTCCTTGATGTCAAGACAGACATTGTTGGAGAGGAGTCCTGGACGACACATCTTGATATAAGGACGATCGGAAAGGTGACCGCATGTATGCATCTTCTTCCAGTAGAGACACATGTTTGTGAAGGGCTTGTGGGGCCGTCAGTGAACCGCTGTGGCGAGTGTCCGATCGAAAACTGGCAGTGTTAACGCGAACTAGTATAGCAGTGGGTGGTCAAAATGTGAGACCAAGATGGCATCTTAAGTGTCGCCGCTTCGGCGTTGGATAAGTGAAGGTGGGGGGAGGTGAGGGCGCGCTTTCCTCAAAGCTCAGTGACTGTGAGTTATGGCAATCACTGAGGTAAGTAAAAGCAGCATTTGGAACCATGCAAAAACGATAAAGAATGAAGGAACACAATATCAAATGAAACTATAGAGGGTATATCCACCACACCAGACGGACCACAAGTGGGCCCATAGGTATCGCGCCAATCGAGATGCATAGGGGTATACAAAACATTCCACGCCCATCCTGATGTGCTCCATGCAGCACTCCGACACTGGAAGACGCCGCCAAAACATACAGCTGATAGATACATGACAAAACAGATGACGGAGCAAGCACACTAGGGTTTACGCTGACCTCCGTTGGCGCTTTGCCTGTGGACGGGCACCGCGATGCTCGACCTCGGTGACACGGCTGCCGCCCATCTCCCGGACCTTTGTTACAAGGGCGTCAGTCTCGTCAAGCTCCTGCATTTCGTCGCCGCCTCCAATGCTCTTGCCCATGAGCAATACGTTGGGAACTGTTCTGCGGCCAGTGGATTTGTGTAGGAACGCTTGTAGTTTCTCGCCCATAGGGTTGAGATCCAGCTCGACAACGTAGGGCCTAGGAACAATGTTGTATTTTTCAAGCAGAATGTGCTTTGCCTTCTTCGAGTGGGGGCAGTAGGACTTTGAAAAGATGATCACTGTAAGAGGTTAGTAACTGCGCACAGGGGTTGATGTATCTTCAACATACTCGGGCTCTTCTTCAAGATGGCATTGAGCTCCATCTCGACTTCGTGGTCCTCGGGGGTCTCATGCTCCATCATGGCTGCCTGGTCGCGAGGCCTGCCGCCTTGTTGGGCAACACCCGGTACTCTGTCGCCATCCATCTTGACGCGGCCTGCTACACCCTTCTTGTCTGGGCCTTCAACGCCGGCCTTGACTTTGGCGTACTTGTCGTCGGCATGCTTCTTGGCCTGGTCCTCGGCGGCCTTGAGGCGCGAGCCAACACTCTCTGCATCGCGCTGTTTTACGGCTTCTGCATACTCCTTCTCCTGCAGCGCCTGCTGCGTTTTTGTGAAAAAGTCGGACGATGTGGTCTGGCGGGCTCCTCTTGACATGTAGAAGAGCACGGTGATTGTGACGATGATGAGGATGACAGACAGCCTCATGCGACGCTGTGACGGCATGGTGGCGTAGATGACGTTACTCGTCTGGGTCGCGTGGTATGTTGTGCGCCGAGGGATGGGTGAAGTGGTGCGATTGCTATGCGATGGGGAGACTATCGAATACCAATGGTCTGGTGTTGTGTCGGATCTGGCAGGTGGGCCAGTGTTGGTGTAGTATGATTGTCAGGGTGGATGTGTGATGCCTGAGGTGGTGCTGCTGCTGGGCGCCGCAATAGCCAATGGGGAGGGGCCAGATGCGTGCTGTGCTAACAACGACAACAATAGGCAGGAGTATCAAACCGGGGCGCAATTGTGTGTGTGCGAGAAAAAAAAGGAAGCACCCGTTGAATGCGCTGTGGGCCACGGCCGTATCTAAGCGTGTGGAGTTGGGAGAGCGCGGTGGCAGCTGTTTGGCGCTGTGTTTGGAACAAATGCGGAGACGAGATGAGGTGGCCCTGGCCTCATCGATCCTTACCTGTCCTGCCATCGCGCTACTTGCCTGCCCAACCAACACCATGCATCCTGTGCGACAACGACACTGCTGTCTGCGCCCCCAACGTGTGCGCAACCTCTGTCGTCCTTGTTTGAGACCCTAGGAAACACCAAAGCGCCTGACGTAAGCACCGTAAGATGCCGAGTCTCGAGCGCAAGGCTTGCTGTGTGTAATACTACGCATCTTCTTTGCGCTGTCAGCACCAGGCCATGCGACGGGAGTCTGGCACACGCAACCTACGGTACCTCGGTCCGCAGTACGAAGTCGATCATCCACTGCGCTTTTCCCGCTTTTGCTCCAACAGCCTAGGCCTCAGCCCGCCTGTCCCCTGACTAGCCGTGGCTACGGATCCGGCTATCCTAGCAGCCCGTGACAGCGCGTGTGGTTTGCAGAGACCAGGGCAGGGCAAAGCAGGGCAGAGCAAATGCAACCAATGCCGTCAATTGACATGATTCTCTCTCGCCCAAACTGCTGTCGTGCCACCCATGTCTGCAAGCAGTCGACAGTACACCGGATCTTCTACTTGATGGAGTTCCTCTCTCTATAAACTACACCTTCAACTGTCGGGAACGCGTCCGCTGTCTGCTGCCCCAGTCTTGCTCTTCCGACACTCGAGCTGGAAGCACCCCGCACTTGGTATCCACAAAACCGGTTGCTGTGCTGCAACTGGACTAGCGCCCCTCTAGTCCCATTACGTGTATTCCGCCATCCCATGAGCATCACGATGGTATTCCCAATCAGTTCGAGTCTATATAAATTCGCGACTTGCTGTTGATACTGGCTATACATACACTCGTCTAACCTGTTTGCCTTCACACTCTCATCTCAATCATGGCTCCTACTCTTTCCTCGACTCCTATCTCCGTCGTCCCCTCAGCATCCGAGATCAAGAATGGTGCACTCAACCAACGCAATCTCGAAATCGCAATTCGTGCTCTTGCACGTGACGGTCTCGTCGTCTTGGAGGATATGGTCGACCATGCCGTCTTGGACCGCTTGAATAAGAAGATGGTCCAAGATGCATATGAGCTGCAGGCGAGGAAGGATAGCCCCTTCAATTACAACAAGGGCAATATCCAGCAGGACCCGCCCATGGCGGAAGAGTGGTTCAGCAACGAAATATACATCAGTAAGTTTCTGTATTTCAGCAGTACAGCTGCATGACCAAAAACTCATGGCACATTGTAGATCCAATTGTCACTCAAGTGACATCAACCAAACTCGGACCCAGACCTTCTTTGCGATTCATGTCCGGCAATACAGCTCTGCCCCCTACCGAAACATCACCACCCGCGTCCCAGCCGACTCACAACGACGCGGATTTCGACCATCCCTCTATCCCATTTGCTCTTGTCATCAATGTTCCCCTAGTCACCATGACTCCCGAGAATGGTTCTACTGAAATATGGCTCGGGACACACAACAATACCACTATTGCCGATCAAGAAGGCGAACACGGTGACCGTGCTAGCGGAAGAATCAAGGAACATCTGCTGGACGATCGTCGGCAAGTTAGGCCACCCTCGCAACCAATCGTCAAGAAAGGCAGCATCATCATACGGGACTTGAGACTCTGGCACGGAGGAAAGCCCAATCTGACTACCGATCCCAGAGTAATGCTCGCTATGAGTAAGTTTCCTGCTTATATGCAACATGTTGCCAATCTCACTATTTATAGTCCATTTCGCGCCTTGGTACCGCAATGCTATGCAAGTCGAGTTTGCCGAAGAGCTTGCCGAACGACTCTTGCCCGAAAAGACAGGTCTGGATATCGCTGCACAATACATTCCCAGCGAGCAGCTGCTCAAGAATTACTTGAACAGATCGTACGGAAATGCATATGATTTTGACCAATCAGATAAAGTTGAAGGCATCTTTTAGGCTAAAGCATCCAACAACCAAGCCAAATTTGAGGGTTTCATAACGTGGTTTTCAAAGTCAGCACAGGACATACAACATGCTGGTTTCATCTCTCGATAAAAAAAAGGCCTTCAGTTCTGTTTCAAATACATCGTTTTTTTCAAGACTGCACCTCATGATATCACTTCAATCATTCCCGCCTTCCTAGACGATCGAAGAAGCATGTCAGCACCTTTGCCAATGCTTGGTATTGGCGCAGGAACGACGCTGAATTATTATTGGCGGAGCGGCTTATGCTCGTCGCTCAGTAAGCCGCCGGAGGTGTGTCAGCGGATACAGAGCAGTCACTGCCTTGGCGGTACTGGAAGAGCATCATAATCAGCATCAGCATCAGCATGCTTTGGTGAGGTGTCTTCTTTCTCTTCACGATTAGCCTTACTCTCAATGTGACGCCCCTCTCCTCTGCACCTAGTGCTAGGCCACGCCGACTAATCTGAACTTTGTTTTACTACTCCAATACCCACACATTTACAGCATGCCGATTGCATTGGAGGGGACGGAATTTCACCCAACTATCACACAGCCAATTGTCAATGTGGACGCCGGAGATGCAACAAATAGCTTCCGAACAGCGCTGGCTGTCGAAGTGCCTTTGATGGTGTTAGCAATCAGCACTGTGGTTCTCAGAGTTTATTCAAGATTAGCTATCAAGAAAAGGCTTGCCGCAGATGATATTTTGATACTGCTAGGCACTGTATGTTCGAGTCGTGCCGAAGAATCCAAATTACATCACTATGTCGCCGTTGCTAACAGCAAACCAGGGAGCTGCTTTTGCACGCACTGTCATATCATGTATGAGTGCAGAGGATAACTGGGGCTATGATAGAAAAGGGTCCGTCTACACCAGCTAATGGTATGGCGAGTCATGCTGATCGTTTTGATAGCCCTGATCGAACATCAGAAGTACCATATTATCAGGTATGACTCGTGCTAGATTTCAAACTATCACGTTAACACTCAGCAGCACATCTTCGAAAGACGTATCGCTTACCTCTTCGCTGTTACCTTTACTCGGTTTTCAGTCCTTGCATACTATCTGCGCATCTTCCCGCCTGGGATGGCATCGCTCCGAAAATGTTGTTACATTCTTCTTGCCATGGCCCTTGCACTCTTCATCGAGGTCCTTACCGTACTCATTGTATACTGTGAAAACATCAGCAAGCTTTGGACCGACGACTGGCTCGACTTCACTGGGTCGCAATGTTTCAGTTCCGCCGTATATAGCTACTCCGCAGCCATCGGTGACAGCATCATTGACAGCATGATATTCGCTCTCCCAATCGTATATGTCTGGCAGCTCTCCAAGCTGAAACTCCGCCAGCGCCTCGGTCTCGTCGTGATATTCGGCCTCGGCTTCACCGTCTGCGTAGTCGCCCTCCTCCAGATCCCCTTCATCAAGCGCAGAGAAAGCAACATGCAGTATTTTGGCTCCGCGGTCAACATTCTTATCTCCATCCAAATCTCCTTCGCCATAATTGCCGCCTCACTTCCTGATCTCCGCGCCCTCATAGCCCGAAAGTTCCCTCACTTTTCTCCCCTCCACCACCGCAGCTTAGCGACAAACGGCGGTCGCCAACCCAGCGGAGGCTCCGAGAGAGGCAGAATCGGCGTCTGGGACGCAGAGCAAGGCTCTCCAGCAGAAGGCGCTCCAGCAGAAAATGCCCACGCAACTCCTGTAGGAAAAAAGATATTTAGGAAACCAGACTGGCTGCGCAACAGCATACCCGCGAGTTTAATGTCCACCATGATTACGCAAAACGAAGTCATGAGGGTTTCCACCGAGGAACCACCGGTTCCACCTCAGACACCCGAGAAAGTAAAGACACCAATTTGATGAACATTGTGTTATTTTTGCGCCCAATAGATTATTCGCACGTGGCTAGTGGTTGCGATGCGAACTCCGCCGCCGCGGGCTGCACGTGTGGGGACCGAGGTACGCATACGCGAGGTACCATGCGTTGCTTCGAGGAAAATCTTTACCTTTTATCGAAAGAGGTAGAAGGGGGATACTGCATTTTCTGTGGAAAGATGTGCATGGATTGTGGGTCAGTATTTTTATACTACTGCTACCGGACTACTAGTGGGAGGGGGGGGGGAAAGCAATGGGTTGGGTTCGTTTGATAGGTAATCGCTTATCGAGGGCCCTTGTGCCGATGAACCACGAGTCGCAATGGGTAAGCATGCGGATGACTAAATAGCCTTGCCCTCGCTTCGGAGCTAATTGAGGTACTTGGCTAAAGTAAACTAGATGTGAGGGATGGTCTTGAGATTTGCATGAAAAAAAAGCTATTTCAAGCTAGGGAAGAAGAGCCTTTCTTCTCACAGCGTGCGAGCATTGCAACGGAAGATGACAGCGATATGAGAATAGACTTATAGAATACTCTGTACACAACAGGATTCATGCATGATTATATATACATAGAGTAGAGAGAAAACAAAATATCAAGATATCACAGACCCTGAAAACCCCCCGCCCCCTCCATTCCAGCCTAGTACCCTCCGTATCCAACCCTTACCCCACCCCCCACTCTTGCCCCTCTTCCCATCCGACACATCTCCTCCGGTAGCCGTACCCGCGCCCATACCCGAACCCCCTCCAGCCATAATCCCCTTCCCATTCTAGCTCCATCTCCCGAATCTCATCACCGAACCCCCCCAAAAATACCTCCAACCCCCCCTCTCTCTTTCTCCCCCCCCAAATCGGGTACCGCCCGACGGGAAAATCATATACTTCTACCTAGCGCCATGCATGCAGTGTAACTATTGCTATGCGTCTGTTTTTCTGCCTGACCAGTTATGTTTGGCTTACTCAACAGGACATCAGCAATGTGCTTTTATGGGACTGGATGGCGCTAATGCGGAGATGGACTGATGCGGGTGCGAGGGTATGCAGGGTTCTCTTTTATTTTTATTTTTTTTGGAGCGGGCGGGTGGGATGGTTGTGTTGTATACAGCCAGTGTAAGTAGGAGCTCGCCTCTATTGTCTTTTGTAGACGGGGCGGGTTTTTTGTTTGAGATGCTGGGGGAGGGGAGAGAAGTATGTACGGGGGAGTGTATGGAAGAGATGAGACATGCACTGCGTTGTCTTTTTGCTGGCGTGTGATGCTGGGCGTGAGCGGTAACGATGCTCACATGCCTGATGGAGATGGCGTAAGATCGAGTTTGGGTAAAGTGGATTTCTTGGGTTGAGGGAGAGGCCGGGGTAACACGGCGGTATGAGATGTGGGGGAATGGTATAAATTTCGAGGTCCGCGGCTGGTGGGCACTTAGTCTAGAAATTAATTTACAACAAACTTTGAGCCGAGGTCAGGACTATTGATATTTAGTCGTGCAATGGCTTCGTCGTACGATTTCATCATTGTTGGTGGTATGTTCTTCTGTCCCCAGCTTTTCTCCTACATGTACAAACCTGTTCTCTTTTGCTTCATTTTTCTTTACTGATACTCATCTTCTTTCAAAGCCGGTACTGCTGGACCCTTGTTGGCCGACCGCCTAACTCACACACGCGCTGCACCCCGCATTCTGCTTCTTGAAACTGGCGGTGCGCCCAGTGGCCCTTACCTACGCGCTCCGTACCACCGCTATCATGCGCCAGCACTGCGCCCAGATCTGGACCATGGCTATATCACCGAGCCAGAGGAAGCACTGAACGGGCGACAGATTGCGTATACGCGCGGAAAGGGATTGGGCGGGTGCAGTATGGTGAATTTCGCAGTATACCTATATGGTAGTAAGAGGGATTATGAAAGATGGGACGACCTTGTCAATGATGATGGCGAAGATGGAGAAGGCACCTTCAAGTGGGAGAACGTAAAGAGAGCATACGAGAAGATTGAGAATTTCGATTCCTCGGGCTCAAAGACGTACCGTCACCTTGCTAACCCTTCATCGGTTCAACATGGGACCAAGGGTAAGTTAAATGTTGGGCTGCCGCCCATTCTGGAGACGGCTGTCCAGCCACAGATGGAGGCGCTTATGCAGGCGGGGGAGAAGTTGAATTTGGACCCGAACTCTGGAGATCCAGTAGGCATTAGCATTTTCCCAGCTACATACGCTAAGCAAGGGAGGTGTACGAGTGCGATTGCCCATTTGACTGATCCACCAAAAAATCTTGACATTTGGACGGACGCAAAGGTGACGAAATTGCTGTGGGAAGGGAAGAAGGTCGTCGGGGTTGTGACGGAGAATGGACGAGAAGGTATGTTTTGGTCACTTCTTCTGACTTCGAATGAAGGTGGAATTGGATATGGAGTCAGAGAAGCAAGATGCTGATATACAGCAGCAACCGCCAAAAACGAAGTCATCATTTGCGCCGGCGCAATCGACTCACCTCGACTGCTCCTTCTCAACGGTATCGGACCCAAGTCCGAACTCGAAGCCCTCGGAATCGACGTCAAAGTGGATTTGCCCGGTGTAGGCAAAAATCTCCATGACCATGTCTTGACCTTTATAAGCGTCGAAGTCGATGGAAGTGTCAATGACAAGTATGCCTTTGAGAGCAATCCCGAAATTGTTGCCGAAGCAGAAAAGGCCTGGGAAAAGGATAATTCTGGTGCCTTGGCGATCCATAACTCAGCTCTATGGGGCGGGTTTCTCAAACTACCCGGACTCGAGACGTTCGAAGAGTACAAAGCACTGCCTAAGGATTTCCAAGAATTTCTTTCAAAGGATGAAGTCCCAACGTACGAGCTGATAGCAAACTCGGCTCTGTGGCCTCCTGGAACGAAGCTCGCAGAAGGCAACACATATATGAGCTTCATTGCCTTCCTCATGAATCCGCTGTCGAGAGGGAGTGTGACTTTGCGATCTAAGGATGCAGCCGATAAGCCCGCAATCAAGCTCAACTACCTTACTCACCCATACGATACCCGTGTGTTCCGCGAAGCAGTCCGAAACACATGGACTAAACTTACCACTTCAACCGCCCTTGCACCATACATTGTGCGCAAAATCCTCGCCCCAGAGTCAATGTCGGATGAATCTATTGATGCGTTTGCGAAAGAGAACGCCAATACTGTGTGGCATGCTGCTGGTACGTGTAAGATGGGAAAGAATGATGATAAAGAAGCGGTAGTAGACAAGAAGTTCAAAGTACGGGGTGTAGAAGGTTTGAGAGTGGTGGATATGAGTGTTGCACCAGTTACGACAAATAATCATACGCAGGCGACTGCATATCTGGTTGGGCAGATTGCCAGCGAAAGGTTGATTAAGGAGTACGGATTGGACAAGTAATTTGAGAGAAAGTGTCAGAGGAGATGGTTGACACCCGAATTAAGACACCCTTAATGTTTCTTCTGTTGTGTTGGGTGACACCGTGTGATCATTGTAATCTTAGAGTAAGGAAAAAAGCAGAGAAGCAACATGGGCTGCTCGTACAAAAACGGCTGAAACTCTTGGACGTGTCAAAGAAAAAGTACAAGTTCATCGTGGTAAACGATGACAATTGTACAGCAGAATTGAGAAGAGGGAATCGAAGAGCTCACAATGACGTGCATGACTTGCCGCTATACCAGAAAAGGTATGGTCATACATGTTCGTGAACGGTGAATCTCGTCAAAGTGGGGGGCTGGGGGCAAGATCTCGGTATCGGCATGGCAATTGACTCGCGATGCAAAAGCTAGCCAATATACCCCATGGCAATAATGTGTAGTGGAGAAGGAGGCGACAAGAAGCGTGCCCTAAAATGACGGGTTCACGGCATGCACTGCGTAGCCCTCAGCCTTGAGCGGGGACGGCTAGCATGGGCGCTTCAACTGTTCGTTACTATGCCCGTTCCGCCATCACGCTATCATGGAAATACAAGCCTAGTCAAGAAACCTGCCATGGCACAGCTTCTAGGGCATCTTTTTAGCCATGACAGAGATTTCTGCGACACGGACAGACCGAGAGACGAGCTCCAACGTACGGACAAGGCCTAGTGCCGCTGCTCGACGATGTCATACAGTATGCCAGGATGATAACATGGCAACCAATGAGCTCTCCGTCGCTAAACCTCTACCGCCTCGGAGCCTGATGCTGTTGGACGGACGGTAGTTGCATCAATGAAAAGGATCCTAGTATCCGCCGCTTAGACCCGTTTTCACCAGTAGCTCGAGTGTGGCGCGGAAGGGATGCACTTCCCCACCCATATAACACACTGTCCCACAGTACCGGCTTGTAACTTGCCATATCCACGCGGCGACTTGACCTCGCCCATCCCACACGCAAGTCCCTGACGACCAGCTTCTGAAAGCCGGTTCCGATATCTACAGCCAGCATGGACGTCAACCATCCCGAGAATAAACAAGTTCACGTCGCTGGCGACGACAAATTCCCGGTCGACACGTCGATTCCCGAGCGCAAGACTGGAAATTCCAGTGAAGATGAAAAAATCGTTACGACCAAATCCCACCCTCAGGTTGAAATTCCCATTTACAATGACGTCGAGCGTGTCGATCAAACCGATCTATCCTTTGCTGCAATTCTCAAAGGCACTGTCGCAAACCCGCTCAACGTATTCGAAAAGAAGGCAGCACTCATCAATGTCGAAATAGACAAATTCGGGATGGGCAGATACCAAATATGCATCTGGTTTCTCTGCGGTTTCGGTTACTTCCTTGATCTTGCTTGGGCCCAAGGCGTTGGTTTGATCGTCACTTCCATTTACCAAGAAGTGAGTATACGAAAAGCATTCAATAGTATACGTCTGACGTAAGATACAGATGGATGTTCCTGCCCCAGAGCAAGGAAACATATTTTCCATTGCAAATGCGGGACTGGCTATCGGAGCACTCTTCTTCGGCCTTGCTGTAGATGTTATTGGCCGCAAATGGGCTTTCAACTTGACTTGTCTGATTACTTCAATCTTCGGACTCTTGTTGGTACGTTTTCTGCTTTCAGAATTAACGTTCCTTCACTAATATCCAACCAGGCTGCTCCTAAATTCAACTATAGTGCGATATGTGCTATTTACTTCCTCGCATCGCTGGGCTTAGGAGGCAACATTCCCATCGATGCCACCATTGCCCTTGAATTTCTGCCACATAACCGCCGCTTTCTCGTTGCACTTCTATCCATGTGGCAGCCTATTGGAGTCGCCATTGCATCCGTTATCGCCTATGGTACGACAGCAAAGTGGCGCTGCGACCCTAACCTGCCGTCTTGCGTGAGCGCTGGTGACGGCGAAGCTTGCTGTACAGTCGACGACAACATGGGTTGGCGCTACAACGTCATTGTTCTCGGCTCGATGACATTGGCGGTATTTTTCCTTCGTTTCTTCGTCTTCCGTTTTCACGAATCGCCCAAGTTTTTGCTTGCTAGGGGCAAAGAGGCTGAAGCCATTGATGTTCTCCATAAAATCGCCAAGTTCAATAAGCAGCCACCACCAACCCTGACGGTGGATATGTTTGCTGCTATTGATGACGCAGCTACTAATGCAACATCTGGCGCACATGTTAGGACAGAAGCACCTGCAGGCACTAAAGCGACAACCAAGAAGGTTATTCAAGGCTTTGGCAAGGAATTGAAGCGTCTCAAGGGCATCTTCGATAATAAGTTGTCTGCCTACATCTTCATTTTGCTCGCATTCACCTACATGGTAAGTTGGATTACCTGACTTCGTGTAAGCCTACTAACTCTGTTTTAGGGAGACTACTGGTCGTTCAATCTGGCAGGAGCTTTCCTTCCCATCATCCTCTACAACAACAATGTCTCGGACGGTAGATCAAGCGTGAGCGACACTTACGAACAGTACATGATCATCTACTTCCCTGGCATCATCGGTGCAGTCCTTGCGCTATTCTCCGTCCAGATGCCATTGCTAGGTCGGAAATGGTCGCTCGTCTTTTCTGCTCTATGCCAAGGAGTCTCTATGGCGATGTACACGCAAGTATCTTCGACAGCAGCATACGTTGGCCTCAATGCTCTCGAGTACATTATGCAAACGGTAAGTACTGAAGAATCTGTACATGTATTCAAGTACTGATTGAGTCGCAGTATTTCAACGCTGTTCTGTATGCGTCTGCCCCAGAACTCTTCGATACCACCTACCGAGGAAGTGTCAGTGGTATTCTGTCGTGTCTGGGTCGCATAGCTGGAATCGTCGCACCGTATGCCGGTGCACAGTTTCTTGCAGAAAAAAGCGCTGGTATCCTTTGGCTAGGTGCTGGTGGTATCTGGCTCTCTGCACTCTTGATGTGCTTCCTGCCAGTAGAGATGAGGAACAGGCAGATGTTCTAGACGGATGTGACGACTTTCGCATCAGAAGATTTCGATTTGATAATTACATCTGATACCCCGGTACTTTAGATTTCAATAAAACGGTTGTAAACGTATGCTGTCTCAGAGAACGCCGCTGCGGATCGTATCTGTGCTAGATTCACCACAAACTATCGTACTGCCGGTGATATAGCTTCTGCAGCCACGGGGTTATCAAAATAACAGAACGCTATCATCAGAGGCTTTAAAAAGACAGAGATGAACACATTCCTCAAACGGAACACCAATTCTCCTCTACCTCCAACTCACTCCTCACCAATCAAATCCGTCCTCCCTCTAAACCGACACTTCTCCACCCTCTCCTTCGATATCAAAAAGCTCCCCGGAAACCACTCTGGCACCGCAACCCCCTCAATCATCCCCACCAACGCCTCCGCCGACTTCAAACAAAGCACCATGCCATGCCCATTAAACCCAGCCGAAACCCACACACCCTTTTTCCCAGGAACCTCGCCTACAAACGGCTGTCCATCCGCCGTCGCCCCCATAATGCCCGTCCACTCACTCTCGACCCGCTTCTCAGCCTCAGCCTCCGTCGCCTCGCCCCAGTTCTCAGTGCCGTGGTACCCCGTTAGTGTTTCGCGGAGGTAGGCGGAAATAGCCGGGTTCAGCGAGGCGTCGTCTACGATTCCGAATTCGGCGGCGCCACCATCGGGCAGACGTGCGAGACCGCCTCCGATGACGATGTGCTGGCTGCCGGAGGGGAGCGGGCGCGGGATCATGTATTCGTAGCCGTCGCAGCCGATGAAGGAGTAGGTTGTTGGGAGGGGAGAGGGGAGTTTGGTAGCGCTGCCGGGGCGTTGGACGGTGATTTGACCGCGCATGGGGACTATGGCGCCTTGGAGTTCTTTGAGGATGTAGGGTGTGTAGCCGTTTGATGCGACGATGACTTGTGCGGTTGAGATGGTGTCATGTTTGGTTATGATATCCCAACGGGTGATGCTGTCCGTGCCGGTTTCCTTCGATGGCTGTATGCTATCGACTGTTGTGTTTGTGCGTAGCTGCAGGCCTTTCTTGATGCATCTTGATAGTACGCCTGTAGTGAAGCGGTATGCGTGCACGCGACCTGCGACGTATTCAAAAGCACCTTCCAGCCTCTCTCGCTCTTTCAGTGTAGAATTAGAGAACTCTGGTGCAACGAAGAATTGTTTTTGGACTTGTACTGTATCTTCATGGATCTGATACCATGCAGCTTTACCGACTTCTTTCTCATGATCCTCAGTGTCACCACGCAATGCCTGGATAGCTGTTTTCCCTGCCTCAAAAGTGGATTTATCGTAGATAAGGTCGACAGTGTTGCAAAGCTTGTTTTCGCAGTCTATGCCTAATGTTTCGGCTAGTTGATGTGTTTCGACGATGTTTGCGTACTCTAGTCTTGCAATCTTGAGCGCCTCTTGTTTTCCGAGGGTCTTAACGTGTTGCATATAAGTCCGATAACTTGCCGCTTTCGTATGCCCACCATTACGCCCTGTCGCACCGGAACAAACTTCACGTGCTTCCAGCATCACTATACGTGCACCTGGTCTCTTTTCGAGAAGGTTATGAGCAATCATGGCACCCGAGATACCAGAACCAATGATGACATAGTCGTAAGGTTTGGTGGGGTTATCGGTCTCGGATTCGATAACATTGGCAAGAGGCGATCGTGGAATTTGCCAGTATGAAGGTAGAGGGTTTGCGATTGGTGGTAAGACAGGGATACTGGCTCGTTGCTCCATGGTAGTTTTAGATCGTTGGCGATACGACTGCTTTCCTGATGTTTCAATAGAGTATTGTAATTGTTGAGTCAGTGTCAATTTTCTTGCATGTCAAAGTATATAGTACAAAACCCTTATAGGAAGATGTAGATGTTATGGTATAGGCCGAAGGTGGGGTTGGGTACAGACCGGCTACACATTCCTCTTTGGGTTAGACATGTCGACTCGTCGACTGTATGCACCATGATCACCACAAATCCAACAACACAAAGACTACTCTAGGCTCTCGAAGGCTTAGAATGATCATGTAAAGAGCTTTTTCATGGCTAGCCATCTACTTCACATTAACAATAGATATTCCCATCAGGTATGATAGGCATCGAAGCAAGAATTGTAAGTATATGTAATAGAGCTCACGGTTAGGAATACCTCACAAGAGAGTGGTAACTGAGAAGAATTCATGAAACTATCAACAGATATATGTTTGCATCCTTTTCGAAGTTGTCTTCATAAGAGAAAAGAGTGTGGGTCTCCCTAAACCGCTGACATGCCTGCTTATTGGCGGAAAGATCGGGGTAAAGACGACCGATCGTGATGCGCAAAGATTGAATTATTATCCCAGAGGAGGTTTACAGATCTTTTGTCAATGCAAAGGCTATCGCAACTGTCGTCGCAGCTAACCCACCGTCTTGAACGCATTGAAGACCAGGTGGGCATAGACAGGACGACTAGTAATTCTACCCCGCTTCAGATCGACCACGGCAACTGTGCAACCATTAACACGTACCCCAACATGACGAAGACCAAAGTCGTTGTCACGCGCCAGCTCATCGATGAGGCTCAAAAATTACTAGATGCGAAGAATGAGAGCTTGGAGATTGTGCAATGGCAGTCGGAAAAGGTAAGTGCACGTTCGGAGGCACCAAGGTTGCAGACGGCTAACGTGCATGTATGCAGCCTTGCGACCGATCTTGGCTATTGGAAAATGTTAACGGAGCAACTGGCATCTTGGTGATGTTAACAGACAAAGTCGATGAAGAACTTCTAGAGGCTGCTGGGCCTCAACTGAAAGCGATTGCCTCTTTCTCCGTCGGTACCGACCACGTTGACCGAGATGCTCTGAAGAAACGCAACATACGTCTTGGCTACACCCCAACATGCCTTACCGACGCTGTTGCAGATCTTACTGTCATGCTGATTCTGATGGCGCAAAGAAGAGGTGGAGAGTCTATTGCGAAAGTCGCCAGAGGCGAGTGGCCGCAAATGCCGTGGCACCCTTTGCTCATGACGGGTCCGCAAATTCGAGGCTCAACAGTAGGATTTCTAGGTTTTGGACGAATCGCACAGGCTTCTCTGCAAAGACTCTTGCCCTTTGGTATCAAGCGCGTCATCTATCTTACATCTAAGCCCGGACAACCCGCCAGAGAAGACCATTTCGGTCTACTCCAGAACTCCGGCATCCCCATCGAGCCGGCTACAAGCACTGACCAGCTCGCTCAAGAAAGCGACGTTGTAATTGTTGGATGCGCTCTAACTCCGTCGACTAAACACCTAGTTAGTACGGACTTCTTCTCGAAGATGAAGAAGCTATCTGTCATCGTCAATATCGCTCGCGGTCCCATTATCGACACCAATGCTTTGGTAAAGGCGCTGGATGAAGAGCAGATTTTTGGTGCTGGTCTGGATGTGATAGAGAACGAACCGAACATTACTGCTGATCATCCAATCTTGAAGCAGCCGAGAGCTGTCCTTGTACCGCATATTGGGAGTGCGACAATAGAGACACGTGAGCAGATGGCGACTGAGAGCGTGAAGAATCTACTTGCAGGGTTATCGGGAGAGGAGATGATAAATGAGTTGCATCTTTGAGGTACGACAGGACTACATCGGTGGACGGTGGATGTTCCCAGGATAGTCATGTGATCTACTGCTAAGAATCCACCGCACTCGTACTATCTGAAATCGATGAAAACATTTTAGAATGTTTATCGCTGAAGCGCTCTTAACGATCTCAAACTTCCCAGATTTTGATGACGCTTCATGGAAACTGTAATGCTTCACAGCCCCTTCGCTCTCGACTCCTCCCTTATGCCTTCCGCAACCTTAACTTCAACGCATCTCCGACTCTCCTACCGAATGGCCGTTCATCAAATCTTTGCAAAGCGGCATATATGAGTGCGAACGTAATCCAAAACTCGACGATTGCCGCACTGAACACCGCGACAATCAGCGCAGGGTGCATTTTGTCCGTACAGATGTTCGAGTTGTATGTGGATGTCGATAAAATAGCCCAAAGAGTTTTTTGACTGCTCTGAATAAGAGGTGTTTTCCAGGGATTTGATACTGTACTTTGACTAGGTGCTTGCGATGTTACTCGAAGGTCACTTTGCTGATGACGACGTGAGAGCTATCTGATAAAATGAGAAAAAAAAGTTTTACGCAAAGTCTCTGGTTATTGTGTCAACATATATTCTACATATTATACGGTAGTGAATAACGCCATGGTGAAGCGAAAAAAGAACCAAGAACCAAAAAAGACTTTAACACACGTGTACTTGTTTGCTGGGTATGTTCAAAGAGTGGCTAGCAAAAAGAACAATCAATAACGCATCAAATTTCACAAACTATTTGCATCATATTTTTTAAAAGAAAATTCAACGTATCGCGTATTCCGCGCATTCTTCACATTGCTCATTGAATATTAGGCTAAGGTATTAACAAAAAAACGCATCTCTCTTTATCTACACTGCGCCCCTTCCCCCGCGAAAATACAGGCTGCTCAAATGAGCTTGAAGCCGCCAGGAACATGAGTCTGGAAAATGCCTTGTGGGTCATACTTATCCGCTACCTTATACATCTTCCTCAACTCCTTCTTTCCGTAACTTCCAAGTGGATCTTGGAAGGATGCGGCAAAGTTGAGGTACTTGTAGGGGTGGTAGACGCCCTCCTTCTTGGTGATATCCTCGACTAGCTTCACGAGGTCGATGAGCCCCTCTTCGAAACCGTCGGCTGCAGCGGCGTCCTCGAAGGTGAAGATGATTTGAAGGAATATCAGATCCTTCTCGGGAGTTTCCTCTGGCCCGAATCCGAGAACGTTAGGCGCGGTGCCGTTTCGTGGAGGGGCGGGAAGAGCTTGGAAGGTGATCTCAGCAACGGGCTTTGCGGAAGCGTACTGCTCGGAGATCTCGGGTACAATCTTGCTCCACATGTCGTGAATGCTGTGCATGATGGTTGGTGAGATCTTGAATGAGGTGGTTGCCCAGATGGTTCGTTGAGGGTTTGCGGAAACTTGTCGCGAGGCATTCCTGGTGTGCTCACTGATGGGAGCTTCGACTCTGCCGTTCATGACCTGAGGCTGGACATCGATGATCGGTTTCAACGCGCCCGGCTTCTGTTCTGGCTTGGTGTACCACATGATGCTGACTGGGTTGAAGGTAGCAGCTGTGTGGTTGTATCGTACAGTGACCCAGCCAGCTGCATAGGGATCGTATTCACCCATCTTGAAATCTGTGTACGCTGAAAGCAGAGCTTGAGTAGCATTGGGACCGTACACAGTTCTGCCACCCCAGATTCGGCGTGCAGGGTAAGTCTTAAGGTCGAAGCGAGTGACAATACCGAAGTTGTTCTGACCGCCCTTGAGAGCGGCATAGAGGTCAGAGTTCGACGTGGAGTTCGCGTTGACAAGTTTGCCGTTGGCGAGTGCGACTTCAAAGTTCTCTACCGCGTCACATGCCCAACCGTGTTCGGGACTCAGGAACGCAATACCTCCTGACAGCAGAGTCAGCTTCAGAAGTAATGGAGTTAAAAGATGTCGATTTTACTTACCACCAGTCAGAAATCCAGCAGTTCCTACAACTCCAATACGTCCACCCATAGCAGTGCGGTTGCGCTTCTCAGCGGTATCATAAACATCTTGCCACAAAGCTCCAGCACCGACTCTTACTACTTGATCGCCTTTTGCAAGCTCGACCTTCTTCAAGCTCTGCATATCGATCGTAACACCATCCTCGATGTTGTTGGATCCTGCATTTGCATTGTGACCTCCACCCTTGATTGCAAACTTGGTGCAGTTGGTTTGCGCTAGGATCGAGACAGCCGTAGATACATCTTGCGATGTACTAGGACGGACGATACAAGAAGGATGTAATCGAAGCTGGAGAAAGGGATATGATTGAATCGATGCGTTGTAAGTTTGTGCGGAGGGATAAAATGTGTTGTTTGGAAGGGCAGACGATAGCTCCTCGCATGCATTACACGAATTCGAATTTGAATTTGAATGTGCAGTAGCTGTGCTGGCGAGCAAGCTAATCGAGGAGAGTGCTAGGAAACGCATCTTGAACCTGAGAAGGATTGAAGTGAGCGAGATTGCTTGGACACTCTTGCAATCGCCAGAGCATCTTTCTTCTTAAACATCTTGTACAGTCCGGGAAACGATACAAAAAAACATTTCCGAAGCAACAGAGCTTCCTGGTACCTTAGCGCATTAGTCGCCGGTTCCCGAATACGAGAATTAATATGTGGCGCTTGCATTTTCCGCCTTGTTTGGTCAGCCGCAGCTGACATGGGCGTCTGTGATTGGCTAGCCTGAGCGCGGGCATCTAAATCTGGAAGTAAAAGCAGACAGTAAAGTTTACACAACATGCTTATACCGACCGTTTCGCATCGCAAACGCGGGGAGCCGTGGATGGTTCAATAAAGCGATGCGGAGATGGGCGTTGAAGGGTCCATGAAGTTGGGTATATTTAGCGAAGTCAGCGGTGAATGCCTAAGGAATCGGCACTGCCGCATCAGGCCCGACATCGTGAGGCGCAAGAAGAGAGACATGTTGGTACTACGCTAATCGTTGGAGCCGGTTGCCGGGATCGTCAAGAAAAAATGTGGTGAGGGCGCTGGGAGCAGAGCATAGTCAGTTTCGATTGTTTCCTATTCACTAGTCTGTGTGTATTTTCTTTTAACCCATCAAAACACCCCTGAATCTCCGTTATTCCAACTTCGTGAGATCCATTTCTGGAAAATGCTTCAGCCATTTCTCCCGTGGCGCGATCTCCAGTGTAAGCGGTAAGGTCCGTTGATTACGGGCGCATCGTGATGGAGCCGCAGGTCGTTAACCACTTTTCGTTAAGCCTCATCGGCGGTTAATGCTTTGAATCTAGCCTTCTTCCGGATTATACTGGCCTTATCACAAGCTCATGTTATAATACAGTAAGCAGGTAATGCCGGAATACCTTTCAACACTTCGGATGTGATTTCAACAGGCACTAATGTTGAGGGACGCTCGGGGTCAACGATCGTCAGTCACAAACTTTCCCTCGCTGAAGTCTCGTTTAATTTCCCCTTCATTTCCGTGATCTTGTTGATTGCTTTTAGGGAAACGCCCGATAGCAACCAACAAGTATGAGGGAATCCTGTAGCCTTTTTGGAGAATTCATCGAGGACTCAGTTGCCACAACATCATTATGTTGTCAACTGGATATCTGGATGAGTAACTTTATTTGGTAAGTAATCGCATTTAAAACCAGGGGTATGGAATGCATAGAGTAATCACGCGAGATCTGAGATCTGCAAACTCCGACTCCTTTTTCTCGCGTGGAACGCTTGGGATCGGCAAAGACTTACTTTTTAACTTGGAGAATGCTTGTCCGAAAAGAAGCTTTGACGCTATAGTGCCAGAACATACCGATCAGGCACCTATTGGTGCACGGGATAGTTGCACAAAAATCGGGTTCGTTCGTTCCCAACAATAGAGGTTGTTGCTATCGTAAAGTTGAAGGAATACTTATTAGGATATCAAAGTATGTCACTTAAACTTGGAAACCGAAATGTTTTGATGCATAGAATCTTTTCGTGAGAACCCCGGTAACTAGAGTGAAGTACCGATCTAATATGGTAAGGCAGCCCATGTACCGATAAGGCGGGCCCTCGATGATCTCTCCAAAAATCGAAAATCCCCATGCCCGAGACTAAGAGCACATACCATTCATGGCTAGGGAAAGCTCCCTCAAGTTCCGCTATGACTCTCGACCTGGCGTGAAGAGCGAAATCTGGCCGATAAAGAAGAGTATGATAGAAAATATTGCGACAGAGCTGTATGCGACGGCGACCTGAATGAGAGTGTCAGTGAAACGTACCACAACAATGACCCAGCCAGCGTACCTTGGTATTGTCATCCCAGACGTATGGATGATCTAAATGCGTGGTTGCCGACCACACATGCAGGAACATGCCGATAATCATGCAGAGAGTGGCAGAAGTGAGAAACATAACCGGCATCTGCCAAGTAAAGATCTGCAAATGACTAGGTGCTCTACGACCAGTTTTCGAAGAATGCCTTCTCTCGCCGTTGGTCTTCTGAAGAATTTTGCGGATGTTGGCCAATCCATCACGGTGCGATGATAGACGGTGTAGTCGAACAGTTTGGTCGGCAGCTGTGAGAATACTGAAAAGTGAAAGGATGATACCACAGTACCAGGACGTCCTCACTGGCCATGGTGACTGTTCACCATTTGGCAAGATGGAGGGCCAGCTTCCTGTAGACGTGAGGACTCCAGCCAAAAGAGCGGACTATAACATGTCAGCTCAGCATTGATCTTTACAATCCCTCTAGCCATAAGTAAACTTCAATCCATTCGTTGCTTCCAGTACTTAAGGAACCATGACACAGCGCACGTAGCGTTGCGGTAAATCTTGATTCTTGTACGTACCACAACGCCGACAAAGTTCAGCTCGCTCAGTCTGTTGTCTCTCCACTTTATAGTAAGATCATCCTTCTCATTTTTGTCCTCGGTATTCAGCAAAATCTCAATAGGATCATATGTAGTCGAATCCGGGGCGTAGATGCCGCCACCAAGGAACCTGAGCAGCCGCAGTACCGACCATCTCCTTTTGTCGGAATCAACATCATCCCCGATCCTTTGGTGTGAAGAACATCCAAGGAGTGGTGTCCGCGAGCCGGAAGAACCTCCATCCTCGATATCTGCTGGATGCGTCATAGCTCGAAGTAATGCCTCGGCTTGGTAGTGGGGTATCGGTGGGACTATCAATGACGACGCGTATCCTCAATATCGGACCGACAGACAAGCGCACAAAAAACGAAAACAATCAGTAGTTGAAAAAAGCGTGGTAGTAGTTCTATTAAATGTATATCATGTAGCAGTTTGTTACCGGTTTCTGAAGCGGGCAACAGGTCTCGTGCCCTTTACAATGACGCAGTACCTACGGTATATAATTTCGGCCAATCAACGTGCTGTCTGGGATTGTCCAACTCATGGACGAATCATATTGAGGCACGATCGCACATTGCTGCCGTGACCAGATCCAAGGACGATCCGAAATGCAAACAGAGCCAACAGAGGAAATGAATGTTGTTGATTGGTGGGTAGTCGGATGTATCGCCTGCTGTGCGGCAATCGGTCCCGCACCCCACCCCCACTCCCACGAGTTGAGATGCGCCGTTTGTATGGTGCCCCCGAAAAGGGTCCACAAAAAGCAATCCCCTCTAACGTTCATAAGCAGAGACGACACATGGCCAGATTGGACTGACTACATCTTTACAACACCTCACCTGGAATCAATTGCTATAACGAATCAAAATGTCAGCCGTTGCACAAAAGAAGGACCTGTACGTCGGCACAGACAGGCACCGGTGGTGGAAGGAGGCTGTGGTATACCAGATCTACCCTGCCTCATTCCTTGACAGCAACGGCGATGGTTGGGGCGATGTAAAGGGAATCACATCCAAGCTGGATTACCTCAAGGACCTAGGCATTGACGTGATATGGCTATCCCCAATCTACAAGAGCCCGCAGGCCGATATGGGCTACGACATCGCAGACTACGAAGACATAGACCCCAGCTACGGCACTCTGGCTGATGTCGATAATTTGATCCAGGAAACCAAGAAACGCGGCATGAAGCTTGTCATGGACCTGGTTGTCAACCACACCTCAGAAGAGCATGCATGGTTCCTCGATTCTCGATCATCCAAGGAATCGAAGAAAAGAGACTGGTATATATGGAAGCCAGCAAAATACGACGCCGATGGCAACCGCCAACCGCCAAACAACTGGGCACAGATCTTGGGAGAAGCCAACTCGGCGTGGACATGGGATGAAAAGACACAGGAGTACTACCTTTCGCTGTTCACACCAGAGCAGCCTGATCTCAACTGGGAAAATCCCGATGTTCGTGAGGCCGTACACAACATCCTCCGCTTCTGGCTGGATCGCGGCGTCTCTGGTTTCCGCATGGATGTCATCAACCTTATCTCAAAGGTTCAATCCTTTCCTGATGCAGCAATCTCAGTCGAAGATGCCAAGTACCAACCAGGCGACAAGTACTTTGCTAACGGTCCCCGCCTACACGAATGGCTCAAGGAACTACGCCGCGACGTCCTGTCAAAGTATGACACTCTGACCGTGGGCGAAATGCCCTTTGTCCGTGACGAAGATGAAGTCATCAAAGTTGTTGGCTCAGAAAGCGGCGAGCTGAACATGATTTTCAACTTCGACCTCGTCGACATCGACAACGTCCCCGGCGACTTCAAATACACGCTACACCCCTGGGATGCACGCGATCTCAAGAAAATCGTAAACAGACTACAGCGCCTGATGCTCGAGCGAGACGGCTGGAACACACTATATGTGGAAAACCACGACCAGCCCCGCAGCATAAGCAGATATACCGACGACAGTGACGAGTGGCGCTCCTATGGCGCAAAGCTCCTCTGCCTCATGCAAACAACACTTGCCGGAACCCTCTACGTCTATCAAGGCGAGGAAATCGGCATGCGCAACATACCCAAAGAATGGGGCCCCGAAGAATACAAAGACATTGAAAGTATCAATTTCTTCAAGAAGTAAACCACACCCCCCTTACTCTTTCATATCCAATATGTTTCTAACACACCACCAGATACCGCGACCTCTACCCCAACAATCCCGAAAAACAAGCCCTCGCAGCAGAAATCATGCAACGCAAAGCCCGCGACAGCGCCCGCACACCCATGCAATGGTCCGCCGACCCTCAAGCAGGCTTCACATCCGGAACCCCCTGGATGCGTGTCAACACCGACTATCCCGCCATCAACGTCGCCGAGCAACTCGCCAACCCCACTCCATCCCCCGGTACCTTATCCATCCACGCATTCTGGAAGCGGGCCCTGGAGCACCGCAAGGAAAACAAGGACGTTTTCGTGTATGGCGATTTCGAAATGCTGGATATGGGACACGAGAAGGTTGTGGCGTTTCGCCGGTGGGGCAAGGATAAGGGGTTCATTACTGTATTGAATTTTAGTAGGGAGGAGGTCAAGTGGGGTGGAATAGGGGATATCAAGGTGAAGAAGTGGGTTGCGGGGAACTATGACGAGAGGGAGTTGGATACCAAGGCTAAGAGTGGGACGGTGGACTTGAGGCCTTGGGAGGGACTGTTGGGATTGCTGGAGTGAGGATTCATATGTAACTGCCTTAGCATACATGAAAAAGCAATCAGTCTCATCTTGGAACTACTGGAGGGAACCATGTATACATCTCCTTCTTCTCGAGACGCACAGCTTAAACGGATGTGGCTATCGAAACAAGAACCACCCCTCACTTCCTCCCTTCACCCTCAACTGTCCCCGTAATTTTCTTCTCAAACACCTCGGGATCAAGTGTCCTACCCGTCTTATCCCTAAACCGCCAACTAAGCCTACTCCACACCATCGAGCAGTCCTGCTGCAGGATACGGGCAATCAAGCGTAAATCGTCGGCAGAAAAGGTGTCATCGGGCTCGAGTTCGATCTCAGCAGGACGAGTCGCGGTGGATTTAGACTTGCTGGACGAGCTGCGGCGCGAGCGGGCCTCGGATGGTGCTTTGGTGGAGCGAGGGGGTGATGCGGGTTTTGCTGGAGCTGCGGATTGCGGGATGTTCGGAGCTGCGGCAAGGTTGGTCTCCTGGTTGGTAGTGTCCCAAATTCCCCGACCCCATAGATCGCCAGAGTCTTTGTCCTTGCTATCACCGGCGCCATCCACCTTGGTCCAGAGATCGCCGCTGTCTTTGGCATCATCGGTGTTGCCTGTGTTTGTAGGATCACCCGTTCCCCAGGTATCTCCATCGTTGGCTTTCTCGGCCTCGCCTTGCTTGTCGTCACTTGTCTCGCCAAACGTTTCTTCGAAGGTGTCGCCCCAGGGAACATCAGGAACTTCGGCGTCTTTCTTGTCTTCTTCCTTGCTGTTGTCCTTCTTACTGTCCTTGGTGCCCTGGTTCTGTTTCTCTTCGTCAAGCTTGTTGTCTTTCTTCTGACTTGCATCCCCTTTACCAGCGTTGTTATTCGCATTGTCAGGTTTCCCGTCCGCTGCTTTGACGATATTCCATCTTTCTGCGCACTGTCTCCTGGTCTTACCAAACTTATCCTGGATAGTTTTCCATGACGCATTCTCCGTTTTCATCTGCAGTAGCTGCTCGTCCTCCTCCTTCGTCCATGTATTTGTGTCATCGGGTTTCTTTGCCGAGCCTTGCTCTGTAACAGTGTTGGTTGAAGCTGGCGTTTCGTTCGAATCTCCACTCTTGGTTGCCTGCTCGGTTGATTTCCCATCGTTTTTTTCATCTTTCATCTCGCTTTTCTTTTTAGCTTTCTTCTCATCCTCCTTGTCCCCTTCCTTCTTGGTGTCATCAGCGGAAGTACCGGCTTGGGTTTGCCAAAGATCACCAGGATCTCTCGACCCCCCCGGCACTTGGGTGCAGCTGGCCGCCTTCTGAGATCCTTTGTTAGAACCACTGGGATTCCAATCACCAGTTTCCCAGGCGTTGTTCTTGCTGCTAGGCGCCTTCTTTGATGTTGACTTTATTGACCCACCAGTGGCCTCGACATTATCCCAGCCTCCGGTTGTCCATAGGTTCTCGGGGTTACTAGCGGGGTTTTTGTAAGTAGATTTTTTCGAATGCTCCTTTGTTGGTTGGATCTCAGATGGGACTTTAGCAAGACTTGCGGCAGTCAATTGCGGCTTGCCCATGCCTGTAAGTCTACCCTTGCGTCCATCGCTTGCTGTCCACTCTACCAAACCTCCGGGCGAAGCGACCTACATCAACTAGCATTGGTAATAGATATAGCGTAGCATCGGGTGACTTACCAATTCAGCCAGCTGGCTCGGCCTTCTGGGGCGCGGTGGCGGTGGTGGTTTTGGATCTTTGTAAGGTTTATCACTGAACCCGAGAATATAACCGAATGATACTCTTCGAGGGGCGCTGGATGAGTCGGGCATGTTGTGTGTATTGATGGAGTACCAGTGTCAAAACTCGCGGCGTGTAGATGGAATATCTGTGTCAAAACTCACAGATGCCGTGGACAAAAGTGGCAAATTGTAAGTAAGTTCCGGTGGAGGTGAGATTACAGGGTCTTCACAAGCGCTCAAAAACAAGATCGACAGGACCGGTGAATGTGAGGTAGGCTGCACAAACGAAATAGAGGTGACTCAGGAACAGAAGAGACAGCATGACGAGTAGGAAGTGAGATGCTGTGGCGAGGCAGATATTACAATTAAAAACGTGAAGATGCACATCACCCTTCCCAGATATATCTTTAATACGCTGCTTAGATACGCCATTTTTTCCAGAGAGTTTAGACTCTGATAACATTGCAATTACCGCAGATCGCCATCATAACCACAGTAATGGTGGTACATGTGATAGCCATGTATATTTGTAGTGAGACAAAATTGTCTTCGTGACTTGCAAACGTGGCAAAGAGTCATGTATCTCTCTAAGCGAAGTCTGAGAAATATATCTAGGAATAAGTGAGATGTGGTTGGGATGAAGAAGACGTTCTGAGGAGGGTGAGATCAGGACGTCGCTGACTAAGGGGGACGCTAGTGTTCTGGCCCTGGAATTGCGGGCAAGCTGGCATCTCCGTATACGTACTTGGCGTTTCCCCAAATCCAAACCTCGAGCACGACAAAGCAGCACGACGACATCTGCAAACATGCTGTTCCCTTCATTCGCCATTCTCGCGGCGGCGAGCAGTCTCCTGTCATTTGCGACAGCGCACAACATCCAGATGAAGGCCCATCAGCGCGAATGCTTCCACGAGCAACTGCACAAAGGCGACAAGATGACAGTCACGTTCCAAGTTGGGGACCGGGAGTTTGGCGGCAGTGGGAATTTAGAAATTGATTTCTGGGTGCGTCAAAGAGACATGTGGCTCTGGGCGACGGCAATGGCAGCAGCAGGACTAATTCAACTTGGCAGATTGAGACTCCCTCTCGCACCTATCAAGTCCACGAGCGCGGCGTAGCCAACGGTGACCATTCTTTCGATGCGACCGAGGATGGAAAGTACACGTACTGCTTTAACAACGAACACTGGGGTGCCAACACCAAAGAGGTCTCGTTCAACGTGCACGGCATTGTCTACGTCCCCGAGTCAGAAGCCCCGCAAGATCCTTTGGAGAAAGAGGGTAAGAACGTTTGAATTGAGGCAGGCAAGGTCATACGCTAACGGTATCAGTGCGGGCCATGTCAGAGCTTGTAGCGCAGGTCAAGGATGAGGAGATGTACATGAGCACTCGTGAGCGAGTACACCGAAACACTGCTGAGAGCACCAATTCGCGCGTCAAGTGGTGGAGCATCTTCCAGCTCATCGTACTGGCAGCTCAGGGTTTCTTCCAGGTGTGGTGGTTGAAGCGATTCTTTGAGGTAAGCAAGACGATGAAATGGACAACCGGCTTATTGGGTCGCCATACTAATGCGCTTTCTAGGTCAAGCGCGTTGTATAAGAGGTGTCTCCTTGGTAGCTTCGAACTCGTATGGGGCAGGGTATATCACTTATCTTGAGCTGCGTTGCCCTGCATTGTTCTTGTTTGTTTGGCGTTGGAGCGCATATTCGGGAGGTCTAGCGTGGCAAAAGATGGAGTACGGTAGAGTGTATTATGACTCACAGGGCAGAATACTGGGTAAGGCTACATGTGCGCATGCATATTCGTTTCAGTTTCTTTTGCTTTTACCCTGTTCCACAACACTCTATGGGTCTGGTTGTGTCTGCCTGAAGTGCTTGGCATCTCTCCGACACGTCTCTTTGGCTGGCTGCATGAGGACAGCCTGGCCTTGCTGTGTGGACACCAAGTCGAGTGGTCAGTGGTCGTGGTTGTGAGTGTGCCGGAAGGTGATCAGATGGTAAGCCCACGCAATGAATCGTGGCTATGCCTCATTTCCACTTTCACATGCCCAAATGGTAATATAAGCCAAGTAATGTTACCCCTCCCAACAGCCATCGCATGTTCACTTCACTGCTACTCACATATCAGGTCTCTCTCACATCTAATTTCTGCCAGTTCCGTAGCGCTCTGGCAACGACGTCGCGAGTTCGGCGTGGCTCGTTGGCGGTCTGCGACTCCACACGCGTTCACATCTCATCGGCATATAAGGTAGAAGTGGAAAGCCCAATTCTCATGGTGTTTCTGTAGGTGCCTGGTGAAGTGACTGAAGAGGTGGCGCACCTTGTATTCTCACCTTAACTGTTAGCGCCTTCCCTGTCACTTTCACCACGACTTCCACCAGAGATAAATAGCCCGCAAGCCCATGCCTCCCTAACTCCTATTATGACATCGTCGGTGCAACTTACTGTAGGTGCATTCCACAGGACCTTCACACTCCTCTACTCCTACCGCTTGGTACACGAATATGGCCAAGGATGACTTGACCGACGCGGCAGGTGCCATCATCGCAGTCCCGCCATCTCCTGAACAGGATCACTACAAGCGAGAACCGGATTATCAACATGACCTCTATGCTGACCTTGTGTTTCGACCGATCGGTTATGAAATCCCTCCTACTTTGCCTCTTCAGTATCGCGATGATGGCTTCGGTGAGTTGCACTCTTGGTATGCTCAGAATCAGCACAGAATTGCGTCGAAACAAGTCCGAATACCTCAGGTACAACCAGTATGCATGCCTTATTCAAGCTTCTATGCAGTACCTTCCCATGTCGATCCCCAATTTCCTCCATCGCAACGCCCTGAGACACGACCTCGACTGCACCCATGTGCCAATCTCCTACACTCTTCTCCCGAACAGCTGATGTCTCCACTGTCACCCGTCCAGATATCCCCGCCGATCCAGGAGTGGCCAACACACAACTTGAGAATGGATGAGACTGCCCGAAGAAAACGAGAAGAATTCCTGCAAAATGAGGAAGCAAAACGAGCTAAACAGGCACAAACGCCAACATCAGCATCGTCAATGCAGTATAATGTGCATCCTACACCCTCTTCTACTTATCCTCAGAACCATGGGAAGCGCAAGTCCCGTGATGAAGATTTGCAAGCGCCGTCTACTCCTCCGCGACGTTATCGCAGACTTGTTCCAGGCCCTGCACCTGAGGAGCCTCCTGAACCCTCCTATCCATCCGGAACTCCACGTGTTTTTGTGTCCCAGCTTCCGGGCTCTGGACCTTCGTACAGTTCCAGTCACTCTATCTATGATCCCGTGCGCGCTGCCAGTGGAGAGGATCAATCTTACAGTCCTTCTTTAGGTCATGGATCTTCTGCTAGAAGGCTTGGTCTACAACCCCGAGTGTATGCACCTGAACCACCACCCCGATACTTAATTCCTATCTCATCGTTATCCCATTATCATGCAACTTCCCATGTGCAGCCGCTCCTGAATCAGCCACCACTGCATGGCCCCTTATCAAGCGAAGGAACCCGACAGCTTATTACAGACAAGTACGAAGCCTATAAATGGCCAGTCTGGCACTTTGAGCTTCGCTCGGGCACCAGGTTCGACTTTGCCCAAACGTACATTAACGACTGGCTTGAGCAAACCACTTCCTTTCCACAGAAACCCAAGTGGCACTGCCATATAACTACCGGCTTCATCAAGGGAGGCACCAGGTTCTCTGTTCTCGTACTCCACAATGCCGCGAACCCATTTCAATGGGGACCAATCGCTGAAACCACGACAACCATCGGTGTATACGGCCGCTACGCGCATACACATGAGGAGATACACTGGACGACCATCACTCCATGGCGAATAACCCAATTCAGAGCAAATCCAGACTTTATTCTGAAGGAAAAATGGGACTTTGACATGCCCAAGGCCAGCGATCGCCGCTTCCACCGGGCCTACTGGCTTGCAGCCAACATGCTCCCGCTGAAGGGATTGCTCAATCACTGCATTCCACACGAGAAGCCGCACGATGCACCTCATGAAGGTGCGATCGATGAAAAGTTTAAGATTAAAAAGGAAGATTTGCAGTGTTGTTGGAGTAATGGGCAGATGCCAAAGGAACATTGCGAAAAGGTGTGGCAGAAGGTACTTTCCGAGATCGAGGGCAAGGAGATGCATCAACTGGGCTCGGATCATATTACTGTTGGTGGTACAGAGCGGGAGTATGAAGTCGACTAAGGGCTGTGTGGGAGGGCACATGTCATGGGTCAGCGTTTTATTCATTGTGAAAAAGAAAGGATTCTTTTCAAAGTGGGACGGGCGTCATAGGTATGAATGACGGGAGCTGGAAAAAGCCTCTGGGACTTTCAGCGATGACTAGCTGACCAAAGTAAGTTACTCACGATTAATAAACATGAATGATAGTCCAACTGTACAACGTCTTCCATGCAGAGCTCAAAAAAAAGGCCAACTACAGGTCCCTTCTCAGCAACAACAATTCTACTAGATAAACATTATACCTGGGAAACCCATCGTCTAAACCACCTTATCTAGTCAACCCCCTCCTCCCTTCTATCCTTAACCCCCAATCCCTCTACGCTCTCCCTCAAACTATCAATACCAACCCTACTAACGCCCCCTTTCCTCGCCTTCCCTTTTGCCCTCTTCCTCCTAACCCCTCCCGCGCCCCCCGCACTCACATCCCCAACCGGCGGCGCGTCCCTAACCCACCGACTAATCGCCTCTGCGCGCTCCGTAGAAATCGGGTATTCCCTCCCGTCATCCTGGGCCCAGCGTTTCGGCGGTGGTGGGGGTGGAGGTGGTGGAGGGGAAGGAGAAGGCGAGGAGTGGGAGGTGGGGTATACATCTGCATCTGCGTCTCCGTTTGCGTTTTCGGCGGTCGCTGTGGGATCGGTGGTGTTATTTTGGTGTTGGGTCTTTTTCTTCGACTGCTGTTGTTGAAGATGTTGCTGCTGCCGTTTCGCTTCCAACTCTTCGTCTTCGCGGTTGCGGCGCTCGCGGGCGCGTACGGCGCGTTGGAAGGACTCTTCGTCTACGACTCGCTCATCGGCGAGGGCTTCGAGGATGGCTTCGTGTTT